CTTTTTTTTTTTGTTAGAGAAAATGTACTCTGTAGAGTACCACACTTATATGTATTCGGGAATATGTTCCTAACAGTACTAACCCTATAAAGAGCAAAGAAGGTATCTATATTTATAGCAATGATTTGTTCCACATACAGAGGGACCCTCTATCTTGGTCTTGTCTCCACAGCATGTTGGACTTGGAGTCAAGAAGATCTGAATTCCAATCTTGCCTCAGGCTCTTAGTAGCTTTGTACAAGTCATTTAATCTGTGCCTCAATTTCCTTATCTGAAAAATGGGAATAAGAGCACCTCCTTCCCTCCCAAGGTTGTTGTGAGGATCAAATGAGATAACATAGATATTTGCAAACTTTAAAGTGCTATCTAAATGTTAGATATTATTACTATTATTATTATTAGATATGAATAAATGCTAGCTATTATAATAATGTACCTACTACATGTTAAGTATTATGCTGGGTGCTGAGCATGCAAAAACAAAAATGACACAGCTCTTGCCTCCCAGGATTTATATTCTGCTGGGGAAACAACATCCATCCATCTATCCATCCATCTATCTACCTATCTATCTATCTATCTATCTATCATCTCTCTATCTAAGACTATATTAAAAATGTACAAAATGACTACAAATTAGTCTTGGGGCTAAGGCACCAGTAGCTGGGGGGATCAAGTGAGCCTCCTACTATAGGAGGTAGAGTCAGCTGAGTGATCACTGAAGAAAACCAGGAATTCTGTGAGATGGAGGCAGTGCATTCCAGGCATGAAGGCCAGCCTCTACAAAGGCTTGGAGACAGGAGAGAGGGTGTTGTGTGTGAGGAACAGCAAGAAGGGCAACTGGGGGGACTGCAGCATTTGTGAAGAAGAATTTATAGTCCTGGAAGGGTTGACTGGGGTCAGGCTTGTGTTTAAGTATCCCCAGGGCTTAGTGCAGTGCCTAGAACACAGTAGGTAGTTAATAAATGCTTAAGTACTGAAACACTTGTTGATTGATCAAAAGTCAAAGTGGGAGTTGGGGGGGGTAAGGAATGGGGGTGTGGGAGGAGTGTATTAAATCCCAGAGACAATAGAGAGCCGGTGAATCTCTGTATGTAAGGGAGTAACATAGACCTTCACCTTGATGAAATCACTTTGGCAGTTGTATGGAGAATCGACTGAAAAGGGGACAGACTTGAGCAGGACGACAGACCAATTAGGAGGTTACTGCAATAGTCCAGGAGAGAAGAGAGGAGAGCCTGAATTGGGGTGATGGTCATGTGATTATTGTTGTTGTCCAGTTATGTCTGACTCTTTGTGACCCCATTTGGGGTTCTCTTGGCAAAGATACTAGAGTGGTTTGCCATTTCCTTCTCCAGCTCATTTTTACAGATGAGGAAACTGAGGCAAACAGGGTGAAGTGACTTGCTCAGGATCACACACACAGCTTAGGAAATGTCTGAGGCAGGATTTGAACTCAAGTCTTCCTGATTCCAGAGCTGGCACTTTATCCACTGAGCCAACAACTGCCTTTTGGCAAAATTGGAGTCACCCTCCACTCCTTACTTTCCTCCATCCTACATATTCAATCAGTTGCCAAGTCATGTTAATCACAATATCTTTGCCAAGAGAACCCCAAACGGGGTCACAAAGAGTTGCACATGATTCAACAGCCGCCGCCACCAACTATTTTGCATACCTGGGTACCTGAAAGAATGGTCATGCCCTTGACAGCAACAGGAAAGTCTGGAAAAGGGGAGGGTTTTGGGGAAAAGATAATGAATACTGTTTTAGACGTGTGGAGTTAGAGATGCCTACAGGACATCCAGTTTGAAATGTCTAATAGGCAGCTGCTGATAAAGCTATTGATCCTACCCTCTCCATTACTCTCTTTTCTCTTTCTCCAAACAGTAGGACATGAACTATGAGTGTTTTTCCTAACAGCCAAGATTCCCTTGTTCAGGCCCCACTGTGACCAATGCACTTTTGCAAGATGGTTATCCAGGGCTGGTAGGGATTGTTGGTGGTTGTGGAAGAGTAAAAGTAGCTGACTCATATGGGAAATTGAACCCATTATCCTAACTTCATTAGTACTGAATTCTAACCAGTTGAACTAACCAGTTTTCACTCAAACCCTAACACAGTCAGTCAACTAACATTTATTAATTTCTTACTATGTGCAAGACAATGTGCTAAGCACTGGAGATAGAAAGAAAAGCAAAAGACAGGCCCTGCTCTCAAGGAATTCACAGTCTAATGGGGAGACAACGTACACTCAACTGTACAAATGAGATACAGGATAAATTGTAGATATTCTCAGAGGGAAGGCATGAGATAGGATGCCAGCTGGGATTTAAAGGAAGCCAGGGAAGCTAGGAGGTAGAGCTGTGCAGGGATGGTATTTCAGATATGCAGAACAGCCCATGAAAATTCCCCATCTGGAGATGAAGTATTTTGTTCGAGCAACAGCCAGGAAGCCAGTGTGTCACTGGGGTGAAGAGTATGAGCTGGGCAGATTAGGGTGTAAGGAGATCGGAAAGGTAAAAGCGGCCAGGTTGTGAAGGGCTTTGAAAGCCAAACAGAAGGTTTCATATTTGACCCTAAAGGTGATGGGGAGTCGCTGGAGTTTATTGAATAGGAGGAGTAAAATGGTCAGATCTATCCTTTAGGAAGACTAATTTGACAGCTGAACTGAAGATGGACAGGAGTGGGGAGAGACTTGAAGCAGGCAGACTGATCAGCCAGCTACTGCGCTAGTCCAGGTGTCAGATGATGAGGGCTTGTACCAGGGTGGTGGCAGTATTAGAAAAAAGAAGGGGGCATATTCGAGAGATGTTGCAAAGGTGAAGTCAATAGGCCTTGGGAACAGATTGGATATGAGTGGGGTAAAAGACAGTGAGGTTGTGAGAATGGGTGCTTGGAAGGATAGTGGTACCCTTGAAAGGAACAGGGAAGTTCAGAAGGGGAAAAATCTGGGGGGAGGGGGAGATAATGAGTTCAGTTTTGGATATATTGAATTTAAGATGTCTGTAGGACATCCAGTTTGGGATGTCTAATAGGTGGTTGGAGGTGTGACTCTGGAGGTACAGATAGAGGTTAGGATTAGATAAGTAGATCTGAAAATTAGCATAAAGATGATCATTGAATCCATGGAAGGTGATGAGATCACCTAGTGAAGTAGGATAGAGGGTATACACATGCACATGCATGTGTGCGTGCGCACATGTATACACACACACACACACACACACACACACAAACACACTCCAGATTCATGTTTATCTAGAATCCCCAAAACATAAAATCAAAAAGAACTTTTTTATAGTGTTGTACAGTATAATGATAAATGACATATATAGCAATGATCTTGAACCACTACAAAAACATGAAGTATATTCTAAGCCATCAAAAAAAGTTCAAATTATGATCAGCATAGTTTTAGTTGAGTCTATTTAAATTGTTAAAAAAAATTGGTAATCCATGTAGAGCAGTTGTTTTTAACCTGAGGTCCATGAACTCTTTCATTCTTTTAAAAAAATATTTTGATATAATTGGCCTCTTTCGTAGTCCTGTATATTTTATGCATTTAAAACCATTATTCTGAGAAGAGGTCCATAGATTTAATCAGAGTGACAGAGGGGTTCATGGCACAAAAGTGGTTAAGAACCTGTGACGTAGGGAGAGGTAACATGGAGCAGTGACTACAGAGTACTGGGCCTGGGTTCAAATCCCATCACTGATACTTATACATAGCTTGATCATGGGCAAGTCATGCTATCATGGTGAGTCTCAGGCAACTCTCCAGGACTGTAAGTCATACGCGGGCTATGATCAATTTAGTGGAGGCAGTTCTCACACTGACAAAATCACTGGTCCTTGATGTATTGATATAATTTGTGTACAGTCTAGGTGGTAACTCTCATTTAAACTGAATGAGAATATTCAATTAATCAAAGCTTGCTTTTCCCTAGTGGTAATGGATAAATGGAAATTTACTCTGTGTGTCATTTATACCCTCCAGTAACATCTTGCTCTAATGCCTTATAATAGCTAGCATTTATATAAGCACTTTAAGGTTCGTAATGTGATTGACATGTTATCTTATTTGAGAAGGGGAAAGGGAATAAGCATTTATAGGGCCTCTACTATGGGCTAGACACTGTGCTAAGTGCTTTAACTAAGATTATCTTATTTGATCCTCATAACAACCCAGTGAGGTTGGTGCTATTATTATCCCCATTTTACAGTTGGGAAAACTGAGACAAACAGAAGTCAAGTGACTTGCCCAGGGTCATACAGCTGGTAAGTGTCTGAGTCTGGATTTGAACTCAGGTCTAGCTGCCCCACAACATCCCTAGGAGATAAGTGTTACTATCCCTACCGAGATAGATCCTGGGTTTTTGAAAGCTGACTTACGATGGACTGAAAGTTCTGGCAGGTTCTACCAAGATGGAAAGGCTTTGAGCACAGGCCTAGCAGCAGATTTATATGTCTCTCATTTGAGGATAAGCCCTGCTCAATTCAGAAAGACATATGTGTTTGTGTGTTTCATATATAATATTTACTATTGTTCAGTTGTTTCAGTCATATCCAACTCTTTGTGACCCATTGGGGTTTTCTTGGTAAAGATACTAGAGTGGTTTGCTACTTCTTTCTCCAGCTCATTTTACAGATGAGGAAACTGAGGCAAATAGGGTTAAGTGACTCACCCAGGGTCACACAGCTAATAAGTGTCTGAGGCCATATTTGAACTCCAGGCCTGGCACTCTATTCAGTGTACCACCCAACTGCCTCATATGTAATATATAAAATATATGATATATATGGGACATATATGTATGTATGTATGCCTTTCTGAATTGAAGTGGGCTTATTCTCAGATGACAGACAGATATATATATGCATATATATATAGGTATAAGAAAAGTTGTCTATGATGAAAAATGGATTTAGATGGGAGGAAATTTCTTCAAGATTCAAGAAAGTAACTTCTGGTCTCCAACTCACACTCCTCTTCCTACCTTGCTCAGGATTCGGATGACATCACCTCGCTGGAAGGGCAACTCATCTGGATGGTCGCTGGAACAGTCCCATAGCCCCTGGTAATAATTAGCATAGTTTCCTAATGAAAGAGAAGAAATGTATATGGTTAAAAAAACTCCATCAAAAAACCTCTTGAATCTGCCAACAGAGGGTCACCTGTTTTCAAAGGCCTCTCATTTCTAGCTGGACATTGTAAAGTTGGGTTTGAACTTACACCCAGGAAACCTGACCTGCGAAGGGACGGGGCCCAGCTACATGCATATATTAAAACAGTCTCACACAGATTGAGCAAAGGGCTGTGGGAGGAGGGGATCATTAACTAACATTAAATATTTACAGATCACCACCAGTAGGATATGAACTTGGTAATGTGATGAAATGCATTTCTTCATTAATAGAAGAAAGTCAAGCAGGATATTTGACTTGTTTTGTAAATTAGCAAGAAAAGAGATCTCTTCCATCCAAACACCTGTTGATCCCAAAGCTGGCTTACCTGGCCTGACTTTGCAACATGCATTGAAGGATAGGGACCGTGCTCTCATTGGTAGAGGGAACTTCTGGATAAGGAAACTCTCTCTGCCAATGTAGGCAGGCACTTGCTCTGCAGCTTTTAAGCTCAGAGAGTTGCTCAGAATACCAAGAGTACAGTGACCTGGCCAGGGTCATATAGCCAGTAGGTATCAGAGACCGGATCTGAATTCAAAACTTTATGGCTTCAAGGCCAGGTCTCTCTCCACTGTGTTATGCTGTCTCACTGCATTTGAAGGAAAGCCTGGTAAGCGAAGCTGGGTAAGGAATCACTCCGCCTGGACCAGATTCTTACACTTTGGGTTCTGTTGCTACACAGAAGCTTTATCTTGGGCACCCCCCATCCAGGTACTGTCTGACGTAACCAACACTAAATACCAAAATGATCGGTCCCACTCTTTAACTGGAACCAAGGGGGTGTCTCATCCATTCCAACCAAATCCTGGGTGGGCTGGCTCTTTTCCAGCATCTTATTCGGAGACCCTGAACATGTCTGCCAGGATTTATTTCCTTGCCCCCAGGAGATCAGAAACCAAAGTGATCTGCATTAAAAATGAAAGCAACCAAAGAAGACAAACCCAGCCTTAGAAGCAGCTGAAGAGATTTACTGGGCTTCTCCGCGAGACTAGATGGCAATGATACCGCGGGACAGCCATCGATTCTTAACAATGAAGAATTTGTATTGATTTTCTTTTACCCGGAAAGGTTAAACACTAGATAGCACAAAGTGGGAGAGGATCCGGGGGGCTGGAAGGCAGGAGCTGTCACACCCACTGGGCTAGAGAGAATATGGGGATGGCTCTTAGCTCCTGAGGAGGCTCTATGAATGGGAGGCTCTGTGGATAGAGACAATGTGCCTGAATTCCAAACTCCAGTTATGCCCAGACTCCTTGGGTGTCTCCTTTTCCTTCCTTTTCCTTCCTCCCCCCACCAATGAGTGTAGGGAGTACAGGGTCCTGCAGGAATTGAAAGGGACCACAAGTAACATGATGCGTGGAACATGAGAGACTATACTGGGGACAGTTTCTGAAGAACTGGGGCTGCGGAAACCCACTTGAGTAGCAAAGGGCATTAGTACTTTGTTGGAGGATATTTATGGGGAGGTAGATAATGGGAAGAATGTGAGTTCTTCAGGGTAGGGGCTATTTGGTTTTGTCTTTATATCCCCAGCATCTAGAACAGTGCCTTACACACAGTAGGCTCTTAGAACACTAAAATAAGTGTTCGTTGTATTTAAATGAAGGAACTTGGGATGGGGGGTAGGGAGGTGTGTGTGTATATATGAATCCTATAGGACTTAGCTCTCTATGTCTTATGAAAAAGAAACTTTAATATGAATCTTACAAGAAAGATCTGGGAAGTGCATAGTAAGGACAGACACTGTGGACCTATGCTAGGCTGCTGTGATGTATGGCATACAGTTACTTAAAATGTTATCATTTCTAACACAGAGGAGTAGCCCAGTTCATTTCTCAACAAATGGAAGTGTTACTACTCAGAACAGACAACAGAGGGCAGCAAAAAGACCAACTACTACCACTATGACAGCATTTTGCCATTGAGTTGAGCATATATACATTTCAAAGGAAAAACATGTAGGGAGTACAAAGACAAAGAGTGATTTGAATGAATTCTGGGAGATTTGGCTTGTCAAAATAGGAGGGAAGCAATGGGAAAGAATGACAGTATTTTCTTTTATAACAGGCTAATCACAAAGATTATTATCAAGGCCTCTGCTGTGACGGATAGCCTTGGGGGGCTCCCTGGTGGCACTGAGAACCTTAACCGATGTGCTGCAGCCACTCAACCAGTGGATACCGGAGGCAGGCCTCCAACCAAGGTCTTTTTGACTCCAAGGCTGACCCAGTCTTCTATCTACTATGCCAAGCTGCTTCTTTACTCTTGGAATAGAAGAACAGGATCCTGTAACAATAGAGATGTCAGTTTTCCAATATGGGGACAGCTACGTGGCACAGTGGACAGAGCACCCGGCCTGAAGTTGGGAAGACTCATCTCTCTGAGTTCAAATCCAGCCTTAGATATTTACTACCTGTGTGACCCTGGGAAAGTTACTTAACCCTGTTTACCTCAGTTTCCTCATCTGAAAAATGAGCTAGAGAAGGAAATGGCAAACCACTCCATATCTTTGCCAAGAAATCCCCAAAAGGGGTCACAAAGAGTCGGACACAACTGAAAACAACTCAACAACAACATCAATTTTAGAATATAACAAAAAAAAAGAGGCTAGGTTTCCCAGATTCCTAAATCTAGAGGCAGAGAGCTAAAGTGAAAAGTGGATTAGACTAGAAGTCAGAAGACCTGGGTTCTATCCTGGCCTTGACACTTCTTGGCTGTATAGTCTTAGACCACCTCTCTGAGCCCCAGGTTTCTCCTCTGTAAAATGAGGATATTGGACTAGATGACCTCTAATGCTAAAATTATATGACTTTATGATATGGTCACCATGTCAACTAGTCCCCCATTTCAGTACCTGAATGTGAGATGTATTTCTGCATAAATGGTTAATTTTAACTGAGTAAACAAGAGCTCTCGGTTTAAGTTGTACTTCACAGGTACTATGGCAGTGATGTAAAAGTGCACAGCGGATAGAGAGCTGGCTTTAGGACTAGAAACACCTGGATGCAAGACCCTAGAAAAATTAAGACCCTAGAAAAAGTCCTTATGGCTCTAATCAACTCTCTAAGACTATATATTGTAGAGACGATGACAATATGGCTGGAGGGAGTTTCCTCATCCAGGAGTTCCCTGTACTAATGAAATCAAAAGGGCCAGTCCCTATCTTGGTCTCTCACAGATGCAATGACACAGAAGTGATTCTGGCTTCTTGAAAGTTATGCCAGGGGAGCATGACCACTTAGCAGGTTCTATTAAGTTGGAAAGACTTCACTCAAAGGCTTATTGATAGACTTTTTCTGTGATTCAAGGACCAGCTCAACTAAGCTCAGAGAATGTAGGACAATTTTTGGTCACAGTAATTTCTTTAAAAAACACTTTTCTTTTTTTAAAATTCCAAACACCAAGTAAGATGTTTAGTTAATGAACACTAAGTAAGATGAGCATTTCCATACATACAAAGGAGAATACAAAAAGAAGATTGCACACACAACCACAAATCTGCACCCAGAAGAATTTTTCTCCCTCTAAATAGATGACAGTTCAATAAGTTATTTTCAAAGCTGTCAATGTTTCCTACTGAACTTCCTTCTGCTACCTTCTGTGAATTAAAAACAAATATTTTGATGGCTTCCTATTGCCTCTAGATAAAATACAACTCCTCCTCCTCCTGTGCAATCTGATTCTCACCTACCTTTTCTGGCTGTTGCACAATACCCTTTCACATGCTGTGCCTTTGTCCTACATGACTGAAACCCACTGCTTCTTTACCCTTTTTTGGAGAATCTCTAGCTTCCTTCAAAACTTAGCTCAAGAGCTATCACTTATAGGAAGCTTATCTTGATTCCCGAGTTGATATTGCTTTCCTTTGGGAAATTATTTTGCTAATGGGAGTAATGAAGGGATCCCATTCCATCTGCTGGATTGGGACACTCCTCATCAGAACTGAGAATGCATAGGGAGAGGCCAAGGGGGCCATGTCTTGGAGCATATGTGGGGCTGAACTTTTGCTTCAGTTTTTTCCAGTGGGTCCTAATATCAGACGATTTCTGGTGTCACATGGACTTCTTGCTACGTACATGTATGGCCAGAGGCTTTTGGTTGGTTCCTCGATGCCCATGATGGGGGTAGGTGAAGTGAGGATGAGGAAACCTGTGCAAAAGAGGATTGGTCACTGAGCCAAGGGCTCCCTATTGCCCTCCAGGAGCGAAAATAAAATCCCCTTTTTGGCTTTTAAGGCCCTTCATGACTTGCCTTCCCCCCCGCCCCCCCGACCTTTCCAGTCTTCTTATACCTTATTCTCCTCCAAGTACCCAGTGACACAGTGACACTGGCCTCCATGATGTTTCTCATATAAGATACTTCATCTCCAGACTCTGGGCATGTTCACCAGTTGTCCCTCATGGTGGGGGGGGGGGCGGCTGGAATTCTGTCCCTTATTTCCACTTCCTACTTCCTGACTTCCTTCAAATCTCAGCTAAAGTACCACCTTCTGCCATACCTTTCCTGGTCCTCCTTAATCTCAGTGCCCTCCTTTGGACCTACCCCCAATTTATCCTGCCGTATCTTGCTCGTGCACAGGGGTCTGCATGTTGTGTCTCCCATTAGATTCTGAGCTCCCTGAGAATGGGTAATGCTCTTTACCTTTCTTTGTATTCCCAGAACGTAGCATGTTGCCTGGCACATTATAGGAGATTCATAAACGCTAAATGACTGACTGAGCCAGGAGGAGCCTGTCTTTAAGAGAAGTGACTTCCCCTTACCTGGCTCTATTTCTCCTCCTCTCTTTGGAGTGTGTTGCTTGGGACTCAGGAAGTTGCTGTCTTGGACTTTTAGTGAGAACACGTGGCACTGGAAGTGGCTAAGCAGAAGCTTAGCTTTGTGCACGCTCCATGGGATAGCTCCCCTCTTACCCCG